CTGGCTTCTGAGAGCTGCCAACCACTGACAGCTGGATTAATGCACTAGATCTGTAGTTGCTCAGAGGAGGCCAGTGAACTGAGAACTACTGAGAATATCTCTGATAGCCCTCAGCAACTCTGGAAGAAGACAATATAGTCCATCGGTCAAATGTGTTTTCAGCTGCAGATAAGCAAATGATACTTATCAATAGACAGTAAAATCTCCAAAAGCGTCTCTTATAGCCAGCTGGGTACATAACCTGTGACCTGAGAGACAACTATGACACCTAGCAAATATATTTGCTGGGCAACTTACAGAGGTATTTCTTTAAAGGCAAAGCTATTTCTTCTGTAAACTCATATGGGCAATAAATTATTTTATCTATAACCTGCAGTTATTCTAAAAAGCTCTGTTTGCTCTGGGAATCCAGAGCATATAAAAGTTTTATTTATAAAACTTCTTTATTTATAAAGAAGTTTTATTTTTTTCTTGAGGAAAGAAGACAGTGCTCTTTCCTGTCAATACAAGTTAAAGGAATTCCCGTATATGAAATCTTCAAATCTCCTTAGCGTTAATGAGATGTGCACACACATCAAAGTACAACATTTCCTATTTGATACTGAAGAAGAGATCAGACGGAGCAAACTCCTGAGGCCGTGGAGTAGTTGAACAGAACATAACATTGACGTGTTAGAGACTACCATACGACTATCTTGTGATAGCATTCTTCTTGGAGACATTTGTTATTTCTGAGGCCTTTGATTATTCCAGCAAAAACAGCAATGGAGAAACGGAAAGTCATTGTAAAACTCTGCAAATTATTCAACAATTATCAGCTGTTTCTATTAGGTTATTGTCTCAGTCAGGACAAATAAGCCGGTATTTTGGAATAAATTATTATCACTCTGGAAATCCATTCTGTGCTAACAGGGGAATATGATGTTTTTAATGCATGTGAAGAACTGAACATGTTTTTCATAAAAAGATTTTTGGAAAATGCATATATAAATAATATTTAATACAATCTAAATTGCTAGTAGGAATTAGAGAAAGGGCCACGTGGCACAATAACAATTTTCTACCGCACAGTATTGCAGTCATGGAAAATTCAGTTGAAAGCGTCTGGCTACAAAATCAATTACAATTTATAAAGTAGGCTTGCTTTCACTCCAAAGGCTGGGTTTGAACTATGCCCTTGGGGCTGTGCAGAAGTCTTACTTTAATGCATTGGCACCAGAGTATAGGATTTTGCCTTCAACACTGAAGAGTCATTAATGTGGTCAATCAACTACCGGATCCAATAGGGCAGGCAAGAGCGCTTGGACAGAAACATGAGAAATCTGCTCTGTGAACAGGCTGGGTATCTACACACAATGTGGGCTATGTGGCCTGAGTCAGATGCAGAAACAGTTTATAAGTTTGAACATAATCTATCTTATAGGGCTTTGGCACTCTGACTGGCTAAATCTGTGTTAAAGTAGTGGAAGCATTCAGGTATGGATGCTTATCTGTTTTGCACATCCCAGATTTTGGTAAGGGACATTTTGAGACAGGGGCCCCAATCTGAAGCTGAGTTATAAAACATCTCAGTTACGTACAGATGTCAGAGATCCATGAGCTGAGGGTTTTATAGACACAAAAGCAAGGGTATAATCCCCAAATAACCTGTGAGCAAAGATTCAGACATTAAGAATAGTGCTCAAGACTTCAGGGATGGATTTGGAAATAATATGAGTTAGTTTGTGCTTTTGGGAATCTGAGCTTAGCTCAGTTTCCTGGAAGTTGAAGTGCCTTTTGTTTTCATAGTTCTTTCTATTGACTTGATTAATATTTATGCACACTTCCAGCTATCAGTAGCTTTAACTTTTCAGAAAAAAAAAGGGGAGTAAAAAAGAAGACAAACTTGTATTTACATCTCAAGTTTACTTTTGTGATATCTAGAATTTCTTCTTAGAAAAACAAAGGGCCTAATTTTTATCTCACACCCATATTGGAAAGTGAGACCAATGGCATTATAAAGAAGTGAATTTGTTATAAGTGCTATGAAAATCAAAGTCCTGTGCTTTGAATAGCTTCCATTGCAAAGATGTAGAAAGTTTCATCACTTACTTGAGATTATTCAAGTTAATGAGAATAGATTTACTGAGATTTAAAGTAAAAATTCCAAGATTATAGACAGAGGATTTAAAGCAACAGTGCTTTTGTCACAATTTTTTTTTTCCAAGTGTCACAACACTGAAATATCAAGGTTACGATGCACTTGTTCTGTTCAGTCCTTTCTTCAAAATATTTTTACCCAGTGGCATACTGCTGGTATTCATTTGTCAACCTATAAAAGTCATCCAGATTAGAAAGGCAGGGCAAAAAGAAATCTGATGTGTGATTTTGTGGAAATCTTGTGTATCTCCCTGCTGGTCTCCCCTATAGCTATACTTTTCCTCATTATTTTTAATTTCTTTTTCATCACTTTTACTTTCCTCACATGGAAAGGCAAAAAAATAAGAAAAAAAAAAAGAAAGAAGGCAATGTGGCTGTGTCAGAGAACCATGCACACATACACGGAACCACATAGCACAGGTTCTGTTACTGCCCCTCTTCCCCCACACTTCTCTTTTGTCAGAGCGTTTAATTTGAAATGGAGATGTGGATTATGATTAGCTCCTTGCTGTGGAGCTACAGGGTTCTTCCCCTGGGGCTGGCAGCAATTTTTAGAGAAGCATTGCGGGAATGTGCATGATTCTTGAACAGCTAATGAGGGAAGAGAAGGAGGCTTGCCCTCCGCCTCCAGAAGGAACGTTTGCAAAGAAGGAATTCATTCACTCCACTCTCTGATGACTTATAGCTCTCCATCTGGCTCCTCCGTGGCCAAAATCACAGACTTTGCCTTTCCTCACTCTCTGCTTACATCGGAGTGCATTTAGTTATCACTCAGCATTGCTCCTCGCCTCCCTGCTTAGTCCACACTGCATCTCTCCTGCTGCCTCCCAACACTTGCACCAGTTCAGATCCTCTCCTTGCACTCTACCCAAATATCTTTCTTGCTATCTTTTCTCTTTGTTATATACTCATTGACTCTCTTTGCAGAAATTTGACATATTTATGCAACTCTAGAAAAAGCAGTGCAGTTGGAAGCATCATGGAGAAGCAGCAAAAGAGAGCTGATGGCAGAAGTCTCCCCAGTACACTGAGGAAAGGCCCTGTTGATAAGTCTTACTGAAGAAAAGGTGTTTAATATGTGATAGTTTCAGTACTTTTGCAGGAAGAGGGAATCAAAAACATTCAGAAACCTTTCCTGCTTAGAGCCTTATTATTTTTCAAGAGACTTTCATAGGCTTTATGAGCCTGTGGATTCCTCCTTCTCTGTCTTCATCTATTCTTCACATCTGCTTTTTCTTCTTCTCTCCATTCCTCTGAGCTGCTTGCTGCTATGCCGTCCTGTTCTAGTCATATTTTGCTGATTTTATTTTATTTAGCAAAACTTTCGTGGTTTTGTTAAAGAAAAACAACTCCCTTCTTTAGCTCCCCTAGCTACTAAATAATTTACCTGTACAAGATTTAATATTATTTGGAAGCTTATTTGGAAAACACCAAATACCATCTGCTGGTACTGACAAGACAAGCTTCTCCTACAAGAAAGCCAGGGTGGGAAAAAATAACTGTTTCTTCTGTTAAATTTTCCTCTTTTTCTTCTATTTATTTTCCTCTTGGTTACTACTCAAGACTCAAATGCAAGGAAATTAAGATATAGAAATTTTAGAAATTTTGAATTTCCTTTTCTCTCAGGAATCAATGAACCAATGAGGTAAAACACCATCAAGAATGGTTTCATCACAGTTAATCTGACATTTGCTTTTACATTAAAACACCATGTTAAAATGTACATCTAAAATTTTTATAAATCAAGCATAAACTAGGAAAATAAATGGCAAACTGTCATCATCTCAAGCCTTTAGAATGTAGAGAAATCTATATTTTGATACATTAAGTTTACACCAGTTTAACAAACCATTATGTAAAAACATCCTAGGAATGAACCTTTTTTCCAGGATGGTATTACTAAAATACTTCTGACTTTTGCAATGCTGATATTGAAGCAGGCTGTATCACACTGTTCAGGCTTTATGATCCATTCCTGAATGCCTCTGCATAAAGTAAAACAAAACAAAACAAAACAAACGAAACTAAACAAAACCCTCCACTGCTTTTTGGAGACAAAATCACTGATATAAGGTTCTGTTCAGTGCTCAGGAATTTGTTCAGAAAATTATGACCTTATTTTAAAGGTTCTCTGCAGAGATGTATAATAAGAAGTCCTTTTTTTCCCAGCTTTCCTCCTACTGTATTCTACCTCTCCTGATTCGGGTGGGTTGGAGAACACAGTAATTGGTAAAAAGCGAGAACAAGAGAAGGCCCACCCCCACTCCTATTGAAGTCAGTGGAAAAATTTCCATTACCTTCTGCAATACCTGCATCTGAATACTGAAAAAACGGATCAAGATTTTAAATAGAATTGTCCCATTTTTCCTCAGCTAAATGTCAGCCTCTGTAAATGGTTCTCCTGTTCGTACTCTGGTGCACACTCAGATCTTTGCATACATGCTGACTTTTTTGTAAATAACAAAAAGCTGATTTAAGTAACACCCGAAATAACAACAGCAAAACCATCATTCAGTGGTCCTCGTTGAAAGACAGTAAAAACAGAAACACTGCAGGATTGCCCTCAAACAGTGGATGAGTGGATGGTGAATGTTTGTATGGCCACAGATGTGCATTTATATATATATTTATATGTATATATATATATACACACTCATACACAATCTCTATATACACATTATAAATATAATAACAAAATACTGTAAAAATATTAATTTTGCTCATATGCTTGAACAATGTGGACTATTTTTATGATGCATTTTTGTGATATATCCAGTTGATAAAACAGCCTTGTTAGAAGCTCTAAAATCTACAATACTTGCAATTATTAAAAAAAATGAGTCTGTGCTTCTGTGAGTCACCTCTTGCCATGTCCAGTAGTTAGGTTGGAGGTGGGCCCTCGTATCTCAGCATCAGGTTGAAGGAGCGAGCAAAGTTGTTGGCCAGCGTGCAGCTGTGCGTCTTCTCTGCCAAGGGCAGGAGGAAGGCCAGGAGCAGGAGGAACAAGAGGAGCAGTTGCAATGGTAGCGATGCCCAGCATACTCGATGCAAGAAAGAGCACATGCCTCCAGAACGCTTCTGAAAGACAAAAATCAAAGAGCAACTCAGAAAAATAAAGAGGTGCATGTCAAGTACAGCAAACTGCAAGGTAGAGGGGCAGAACAACCCACACTGTCCACAGCAAAACAGTTCTCAGTGTCCAGCCTGAGTGCTTAGCTGCAGCTGAGTGACATTGGTGCTTAAACCATTTCTTTTAGTGACTATGTCACTATTTTAAAGAATTTACTGCTGAAAATTTTGTTCTAGGAGGAAAACACTGCTGACTTTTTAAGGGAAGAAAACGATCGCCTCCAAGTCCTTTTCCAAATCAGAAAGTGGAGGTTATGAATGCTTACACCAAAGCTGTCAATTGGTCTGCTCACAGTCAGCATAAGGCACAAGAGGTCAGCATCAATATGTCATGTCAGTAAAATACAGGTGCTGGTGCTTAGAAGAGGGGACCCAGCCTTCTGCTTTCTGACAGCAGATGAAGCCACATTTGTAGCATGTGCAGCTGGTTATCCTCTCTCCAGCTACCATGTGCTCCTTGAATCCTGACTTAGGGTGTAAGAGGCTGGTGGCAAGAAAAAGGGCCCTGTACTGCAGTCTGCCTCAGTTCCTCTTACACTTTCATCAGATGTGAAAGAATGAGATAACGATACACTGACCCTGGGAAGGACACTAAGGTCACATTTATTGCCGAGTAGCCACAGAAGAGGCACACAGAAGTCATGTTATTTCTCCTTTATGCTGGTGCAAACTCAGAGCAGCTCTCTTAACCTCATGAATTCAATCTGGATGAGCACAACCAGGAGAGAACATATTTGGAGCTAAAAAAATTCAGAAAAAATTAATTAAGAAGTGAGATTTTCTCTGACAGCATTCTTGCATATTTCCTGCCAATGAACTGAACTGTGCAAACTTCATTAAATATCAGCAATCTGTAAGGGCCTCCAGAAAAACAGGGCTCAGTAATCCATTTTTAATTTCATCAAAATGGATTTATACTCAGAACATAGAATTAATGCTTAATGCTGCTACAGCAGTAGGTATCAACCTACATCATGAATATCCACTCAGAATATCCACTGAAGTGAGATCCATGCTTTCCACAGAAGGAAGTTAACTCAGATGAGCTTGGGTTGTGTTCAAGCCACGGGGAGTGTCAGTACTACAACAAAATGAGGACTTCTGGCTGGATGTATGGTTTAGTGGGCAGTGCCTTTGTCCCACTGAATCATGAACAGTCCATAGGAAATAGCAGAGAAGATAAGCAGCAGAATGATGGTGGAGGGAAGTAGTTACTCTCTGTTCGTTTTTTAAGGGTCTCTTCTACTGCTTTCTAAATTTCCCATTCTCCTGTAGCACTATATAAATGTTTACAGATTTAATTATGAAGGCAAATACATAGCTGCAGTTACAGATATGACAGTTGTGCTGTGAAATTCTCCTCCTGCTGTAGTGGGTTTGCTTTCATTATTTCAGGGCGTTGATGAGATTTGGTTACGACACTGAGCAGATGAAGAGGCAGCAGAGCTGCTTAGTCTGTCATTTCAGCTTGCAGTATCTCAGCTGTAACAAAAGCTCATGTCCCTGGACACTGGCACTGTCAGAAGGCTATGTGTATGTCAGGGTGCCGGGGTGCTCTGACTTCAAGCACCCTCGGGAACTTTCCTGGTTACAGCTAGCATTTACTCACCAAATCAAAGCTTCACTACCCTGGCTGAATCAGAAGAGTCACCTCTGCCTACTGTCTACTGTTGCTGACAGCTTCCATTTTCACTGACCATTACTTGTTTTTAATTCTCCATTACATCCCATCCGTGATATGCAGCAGTATGTTGTACATTTATTATAGTATGACGTCTATAAAGAAAAAGCCTTTGTCAGGTTCCAGAAGACATGGGTAGGTTTATTTATTAATGAGTGTAGTTCTAGTGATAAGAAGTTCTAGTGAAAGAGCAGATTGGAGTTACCTCTGCACTGGGAGGTTCCAACTATGTTCCTTCTACCACTGAGACATGATAGGGTTTAATGCTGATGTTATTAAAGGCAAGGATCCTGACATGCAATTAACTGCTCAACAGTTCATTATGGCTGAGAGTCACAAGATGTTCTTTACAAACTCCAGATGGGAATGAGAAGTCCATCTGTCTCTGACACTCGGCTGTGGCAAGGACTGCCAGACTTAGTAGCACCACCTAAAACATGATTAATAGCTATACATCCTTCAATGTTTAATTTGAAAGCTACCTAAATCAGCTGCAACACCCATCCTCCTGCCTATGAGCTGGTAGGTAATAGTGGGTTTTTTCAGTTGTGCCTCATCCCTGCGCCCATCACAACCCAGGAAGCAGGTGTCCTTTGGTCACTCAGGTTTGTCTTTGGTTTCCTATTATGACCACACTTCCAATGTCACACACACTGTTCCTACCCCAAATCAATAGTGATTCAACATTTCATTCAGAGCAGATCACTGACTCTAAAGCAAAGACTATTAATGCAACTCTAAGGAATAAGATGAGATTCAAACATTGTTCATCAAGTGCATTGTTTTTAGATCTATGGGAAGGAGCTGTAAAAGGGTACTACCTTGTAAAGCTAATTCACAGAAAAAAAATATAATTAGAAATGGCCTTATCAACAAGCTATCATTTTCTCCTCTTGGAGCTTTATGTAGGGTAAGATGCTGAGGCTAACCACAGCAGATCCTAGCATTAGGACAATCTATTGAGGAAATTTTGCTTGGGGGTAGAATTTCAGAGAAGGATAAATATTTTGTTTTTATCTGCTGCTTGTCTCCTGCTGTCTTGCTGGGATTATAGGCATTTGTGTTTGATGAACTTCTGTCTTTGCTACCCAGCTTCTCTGTTTTGTTTGACCATGCAGCAAGGTCAGAATCTTACATTTTTGAATCCATTTGTTGCCATGGAAATGACTCTCCTATCACAACCATAGCATTATGATATCTCTGCAGGATGGAAGATGAGGCACACAAGAGCTGTGAGAGTTTGGTGCTTTCAGCAAATTTGCAATGATAAGTCCTTATTATATGAGGGCCCCAACCTGCACACACTGAAATCCATGGGAGATTTACCAATAACTACAGTGTTTGCAGCAGGATTATGCAGAGAGACAACTAAATAAAGTCTGTATAGAGAAATACTTATTCATGGAGTTCAACTGATACCTTTACAAATGAATTCATTACTTACATGTAGTTCTGGTAGTCTTATGTACATAAATCCTACATTAATTTTGTTGTTTTGAGCTGTCTGGAACCATTTGTGACAGGATTATGTGTGTGCATGTGCTAGCACTGCTAGAGGTGCAACAGTTTAAGGGTAGAAAATAGTTGAGTTATACAGCTGAAAAAGCATGGAAGTTCCGGGCCCTCTCACAAGTATGAACAAAGAAGCTCAGTTTTACTAAGGCTACATCAAGATATTTTTTCTGTACTGCAAGAGAGATACTTTCAGGCTGTGGTGACCTGTGAATACAGACCAACAGGGAATTTCTGAAGCCAAGGTTAAAACCTCCGCTGTGCTGGGCTAGGGGTGATCAAGGCTGTACAAGTGTACTGGGATTCAGGACCACACTCCCAACAATTTAGCACATCATTCTGGGTTAGAAAAGGACAGTCTGACACGGTTTCACCTTTGCAAAAGACAGTTTGTACATTCCATTTCCATGTGAGATCAAAGGTGGGAACCACAAACCTCACTACACGGTGGAATTCCTTTTTTCCAGTCACTGCAGCTACTGGCATCAGTACAGCTACTACCCATCACCCACGGTGTCTGCAGTGTGTGTCAGATCCAGGCTCACAAAATATTCTGAAACCAGATCCTTCTCTGAGGAAAACTGGCAATGCTCCACCGAAGTCAACAGAACTTTAATTTCCACCATCTTAGAATAACAGTTGGAATACTTGGGTATTGAGCCAAAGTGCCAGAGACATTTTTGAAACACACGCAGAAAAGGAATAGGTTGATATTTAAAATGAAAATATACATTTAAAGTTCACCATCAAGGATAAATGCCTGATCCTACCCTTTGTCCCTCAAAGTATCAGGAGAACCATGGATTGTCAAGAGGTAAACAGCTGTATTTTGTGTAATGCTAAATGCACGCTTGTTACCAAATGAATTGCATTAGCTGTGAACATTCATATTCGTACTTGATTCATGTTGGGGAGTTTGAATGACAAGCTTTGGTTTAGACCTAGGAGTCTTTGGTTACTTAAATCTGTTTGCAGTTAATAACTCCTTACCCAATGCACTGTGAAAATCACTTGGACAGGAACAGCAGAAAAGCATTTTAGAACTTGCTACCTAATATTCCTGTATATTTTGTTGAAGTGCTTTCTAAAAATCAGTGCACCCCCTGGTTTGCCGTTGACCACATTCCTGGATGTGTGAAAAATTGTTAATCCAACTATATGAGGAAGCAGAGGAGTATATTATCTAACATCATTCTCATTAATGGTTTTCTTGATGCTTTTTTATGTCAGTCACCAACATGTCTGACAGAAGTCATACCTGCACCACAGAATCAATGATTCAGTAGAGGAAAAAGATCGCATCTGGATTAATTCATTTTATCTTAGAGCATTTCACTGACAGATTATCCCAGGAAGAGCAGTGCTGTCTGAAAACTCCTGCTCTTCCCATGCATAAGGGAAACTACTCCTTAATATTCTCTGGCTGCAGCTGCTTTCAGCTCTGAGTATGTCCTCAGTCTGATGCAGCTTGTCTATCTAGTTAACACTCAATAAATCTTTCTTCTTTGTACTTATCCAGTTTCCTCTCGAATCTATGCAAACCTCAATCTATGCATAAATCCTCAATATCCTTCAGCAAGGAGTTCTACAGGTCAACTAACGGTGGCACGAAGAAAACTCCTTGTGTTAGCCTTGAACCTAACCCCCAGTTCTTGTAGAAAGTCTATCCCTACCTGTACTCTGCACTATTCATGATTCATGAAAACTCTCGAGTTAAATGCTTAGACAGGATGAATCCTGGCCTGTATCTCCCCAG